ATAGTGATATCTAATATGAAGTTTTTTAGTACCGATTCGATTATCTTCTTTTCTAATAGTTCGAATAAGTTTAGTATTTCGATTATTGACCTTGATCTTCATGTCGATCTATAGAAAACTTTTTTACATCAAAGCTTTGAAAAAATTCTTACATATTCGTCTTTTTATTTATTTAATCGATGCATGTGATTTTTTTGTTGGTCGTCTGCCTTAAATTTTATTTTGATGAATATGATTTAGAAGAGAATCCATTCGAAGTCATAAAATGTTTAGCTTAAATAATATTTTTCAGTTCCAGACGAGTTCTTTTCTTATAGTCCCACATATCTTTAGTTGCGTATCAACAATAGCCTAATAATTATGAAGAGAATGCTGTCTGAGAGATAGGTGTCGGTATATTGAAAAGCAAAAAAGTGACTAACTAGTTCGATAAGAATCACACAATAGTTACGAAAGTGTAAAAGATAATTGAATCAATCTTTACGAGATATATAAACAAACTTAATCATCGTTCACAGATTGTTTTTAGCAACTCAATCCTAAATATGATTATAGCAGTTGTTCTTATGCATTATATACTTCTTTGAACTTAGTATTTCAGATAATTTAATATTTTCATCAATAATAAAAGCACAGTAAGTAAATTGAAAAAAAAAAGTTTTCTATTCCTTTATAAAAGCTGTTGAAATCAATTATTGAATCTCAGCATGACATGCATTTTTTAATAACGGCGAATGCTATAGATTGTTAGAAGTAATAGATTTTGTTTTTTTCTTTCGTTTCATAGTATCTAATTCGAAATACTTAACATATTCAAACAAACTACTGGAAGTTTTATTGTTATTTTTTAATTAAAACAAAAATGTACTTTACCTGAAAAAAAAATGAAACGAAGCCTCATTCATTCGAGAACGTAACAGTGGCATTATCATGAATCGACAAAGCAATAAGATTGATCAAGTTACGAAAGAAATACATCGAAAACAAGAATAACTACGTTTACGGAAAAAAACAAGTAAGATTATTTTGTTATTTCATGTACAAGACATTTTCTTCTAGATTCTGAAATCCATTCAACTAAACCTATATCCATCATTTATTCAGAAGATAAAAATAATGAAAACAATGAATCTTCAGATTCAACAATATCTGTTTCAACTAGTATTCAACAATCAACAGTTCCAACACAAAAATTAATTGTTCATCAATACTATAATGTGTATGTAGGAATGTCCGATGAAGAATGGACGAAAGCACGAGATGCGTTTATTGCTGCATATTTTAAAGAATAAAAAAAAATATATTGATAACTAGGATATACCAAAAATGTTGAGATACACATTATATTATAATAAAGAAAGCTTGACGAAGAATTTCTATTTCTCTGTTGTCTTTTATACATATTTGTAGTAGTATGTAATAATGCTTTATATTGATCTATTCTATGATCATTATAAAATCACCATTATTATATAAAATATTCAACAGGAAGCTATGTATATAATTACTTTCGAATAACTAAGGATTAGCACGACTCTAAATAAAAATAATATACAACAAGTAATTGAATGATAAAACTGCAAAATAATTAATTCTACTGTATTTGCATATATTTTGTTTTATAAATATAAGTAAATTCTGTCTCTAACAAGAAAAATATAGATGAAAATCTTTGAAATACATCAATAGTCTACAATAAAAGTTTGAATGCTTTATTTTAGTACAATTATGATGCGTTGTCCTGAGTATAAAGTTTTCTATGACTATGTGCACATGTGAATAGTTCATTATAAGATTAATGAGAGGTGATAAAAGCGTATTGCTATCAATGAAAAACTGTTCTATATTATCGATATTCCCGTAATATATTGTGAACTGGACGACACGGCTAAACACAAGAATCAATGACGTTGAATTATTTTCTGTTAAATTCATGCGATGGTTTATAATTTCGTGGCTTGATGATAGAAACAGGAAGCTCAGTTAGAAATGAAAAGGAACGAATAATACAAGCAGAGATCTCATAATCATAATGAACAATAAACATTCATCAATGTTAATGTCACATAAACATTTTTAAATAGACCCTCAGGAAAGTTGCTATTGATATGATACATAAAATTCATTTCGTATGGAAATGATTAGATGTGAAATCGAATCGGGATGTGGAGTGTAAGAATAAGATCCACAACCATAGCCACACTCATATCCACACCCTTATATTATTCTTACTCAAATCCTACACTCTATTTCTATTCGATACTGCCATAGCTCTTTTCAAAGAGACGGTACAATTGCAGCAAAAACAGTGGACAGCATGATATGAATACGGAATCTAGCTATTTTTGTACATTACTTTTATTCTAGACGCAGAGCAACCTTCTAATAATAAATTGATATCTTTATTACACATCGATAGCTTTGATCGAGCAAATTGTTTATTGGCCATGTGCTTATCTTTGGAGGAAAAAAACCAAGCGAAGCAACTGAAGTCCAGGAAATCAATAAACATAGATCCAATCTCACTACTTCCACTTTTCAATAATAATGTGACCCTCTAGAAACATTTGTTCTCTGCTGATTCAATTGGTGTCCCATCCGTTCCTTGTCGGGTTCGCGTTTAGTGCTGTCATTTGCCTCTAATTAGGGTTCGATACCGTTCCTTATCACATATTACTCATCATATCGATATATCTGATACTCTTGACCTGAAAAGTGACCCATCGTCGGAAGTCATTCGCATTATTTGGTGTAACTCACATTTTCCTATCGAAGATACAACCCAAGAATTGCGCAATGTCAATCGTGATCTTATATTTCTTAGTGACTGGTCCTCGTATGAGACAGTTGTAAAAAAGCTCCATTCTGAAGAATTTTAATCGATGTTTCTTATTCTTGCTGGAGCAGTGGTCAAACAGGTACTCACTCAAATCATACCGAAGACATACACAATCTTCATATTTGCTTCCAACAAGACAAACAACGTCGATTTAGTCAATCAGCCTACAATTCACGTTGTCTCTAATTCTCTTTCCAAATTGATTGGATATGTCAAAATTGTTTCGAGTTCAGTCGAACATAGTTATTTCAACGGCAGTGAACAACAATCATTATGAAATCTCTCAAAAGAAACAGTCACTTTGTTGTAGTATCATCTCTTTCGAAACGTTATTCATCATCGGAACAAATTCAATCGGACGAAAAACGACATGATGACACGTTTTCATGAATACAATGACAATAGCACTGAGCAGCAGAATAAGTTGAACGAGTTTGCTAAAAGACTCAAGCCAGATTCTGCTCTATTCTCATACAGACAATCAGGTTTTATTTCTGATATTATCAACAAGACCATACATTCTTATGACATCGATGCTCTGCTCGATTTACGCTATTGGAATATCAAGTTTAATCGCAGAAAAAATAACGTCAAAACATCAAAAATCACACATTCTAAAATATTTTCTAGATTGATATATGGAAATAAGAAGTGAAAAAGCTACAACCAGGCTCTAAGATTGATCTTCATTGATAATACTATGTTAAAATTCGGCTCTTTGGAGTCATATTCTGAACCAATGAAGTTCTATGGGCAATAACGAAGCATACCGCGAGAATCAGCTCATCGAGCTCTACAAGTTGGCATATATCCCATTCAAAACTGAGACTCACATTTGGAGACCTTCTTTCATTAGTGAAAAAGCAGTTTTTGACCGGTAATCTCAGATTTCGCAGCCGATGATGCTCTGAAGGAGCTTGCATAGTTCAAATTCGACAAGATCACATTGTTTTAGCTATTGTAAATATTTTTCCACATGATTAGAATAATGAATGAAGAAGATTCAGAGTCAAAAACCTGGATATAAAGCCAAATGAGTACCTCAACAAGGCCTGATTTTTTGTTTACTAAAAAGGTTTCAGTACTTAATATATTGATATTTGTAATCAGCACACTTGACTCTATCAATAAATATATGTTTAAACAAAATCAAAAATAAAATATTTTTCCCAGATCCCTGTGAGAAACCACAGGTTCCAAAAATCCTTTGGTGAGCTATATGAATAAAACCTATGGAATATCCTGAGGAGTCATGTCTTACATCAAATTGATTAAAAAAAAACTAATTTTGTTGGGGGCAGAAAAATGGCCTTCTTCGCCCTCGTCCATTTGGAAGAACTGTAGTCCTTGCCATTTTTTTACAGGTAAACCAAAATGAGCTTATATTTGAAATTTCATAACAAGTTTCTGTAACCTTTCGAATGAAATAATCAAATTCAAAATCTAAAATTTCTCCACAGCCGTCATGGTCGATCTTCTGGCGTATCTTCTCTTAAAGTTAGACATTGAATGTTATATTTACTAAATAACGTTTTGTCTACAAGATAAGAAAAAATATTTTGACAATTACACTAAAATTTTCATGCAATTATTTTCAGTGACATAAAATGAATCGTTTGAAAAATCACTTTTCTATTAAAAAATAATTCTGGTCTCAAAAAGTTAAGAATTTATTTATTTTAGACAAAAAAGTATATAGAATGGTGGCATGTCTGATCAAATGTCCAAGTGCTTTTTTTTCACCAGCTACACCATTTATCATGCTTTGATGTTTTTATATTGTTTGAATTACATATTTTGCCAGAAACTAAAATAATCAAGAATCTTCCAAAGAACCTCCTAGTATTTGCCACAAGGTTTTGTGAAGATACTTGTCAAGAAATTTTTGGAAGATGTTTGATTATTTTAGCTTCGGACAACATATGTAACCTAAACAATAAAAAATCATCAGAACTCTACAAATGGTGAAACTGGTGAAAAAAAAGTCATATTTTGCTCATATACTATTGGAGCTGTATAATGAACAAAGCAAAAAGACATCTGATCAGATTGCTTACTCTTATATATATCATTAGCCAAAAATAAAACCAAAATTCTCTATAAAGAAAAAAGTTGTTATTTATAATATAAAATACATAACTCAAATCGACTGTCAACATGTTCATAGATCCGGTTGCATAAGAATGAGTGGACGAATCGCGATTGTTTTTCTTGGAGATGGTTGTGTAATAGTATGAATTATTCCATTTGATAATTCTTTTTTATCGCTTGATAATTTTGTTTTATCATTTGATAATTCTGTTTTATTATTTGATAAAGAACTTGGATCCAATTCATTTTTATCTTGAAAATGAGCTCTTACATCGTTGAAAGCAGTATTAAGACGTGTTTTTAAGTGAACAGTTTCAAAGACATGATTCCGATAAGCATTTGCTTTTTTCGATAAATGAAGTATAACAATATCACAAATAAATGTTGCTAAACCAAATATTCCAACTAATGAACCAATATTTAAAGTAAATGTAATAAAATCAAATTTTCCAGCTTTACCACTAATAGAAACTATAAAACGAAGACCAAAAGCTTTAGTTAATACACGAAAATCTGTCTGATTATATTTCCAAAAATTAGAAAAACGAAAATTAAAACCAGCTGAAAACGGTTTTTCATGAAAAGGTACATCAAGACGAGCAAATGAATATTTAGGTTTACATAATTTTAAATCTCGATCTAAATTACAATCCCAATCAGCTTTCATACGTATAACACCACCATGACGTAACATTAAATCACGTTCAGTAATATTTTTTTCAGCTTCATTCATTATATAATCAATAGAAAATATCGGACAATCTTTATTAGTTTTTGGATGAAAAATACATGGTTTTAAATTATCAACCATATTTTTATGTTTAACGTCGAACTCTGGAAACTCAATAAAATTTTTCATAAATATTGTAAAACCAAAAACTCCTTGAACAAGCAATGTCGGTATTTCATCATCTTCTGGTGGACACCAACCTACAAAAAAAAAATATCTTACTAATGTCTGTCCAAACATATAATGACCGTGGGTATTTTTGCAATAACTCAATAACGGAAGGAGCTACAGAGTTATGGTTTTCACCATTCAAGAGAGAAGACTCGAGATCGTTCAAATATATCGAAATTTGATTTGCTAGCAATTCGCCAATCAGGTGAAGTCTTTATGAATATTTTCAAAAAACGATATTCTGAAGCTATTTCTCTGTCCATTTAGGCTTTTGTGAAGACTAATAAATAGAAAAATGCTTCTTTTTCGATTAACACAAGGTTATCATTCCTAGCTAGCTCCATTCAAGAGTTATAAGACTTTTCTAGTAACCCCGATTGCAGCCATTTGAACTGTGATCACTCAGAAAAGCAGCTAGGCAGAGCTAATTCTCTACACTGAGTCGAACGGTGATATTTTGTTTTAAGTTTGAAATGATCTGATACTGTTATCTCAGTATTTGTGAAATTCCATAATGAGTCTCCATATAACGAATGAATTGAGATTTCGGAAGTATTGAGATAACACCATCAGATCATTTCGAACGTAAAAACAAATATCATCATTCGACTCAGCGTGATGAATTACCCCTGCCTAGCTACTTTTCCATGTGATCACAGTTCAATTGGCTGCGATCGGGGTTTACGAGAAAAGTCTTATAACTCTTGAACGGAGTTAGCTATAAATGACAGCCTTGTGTAGATTGAAAAAGAAGCATTTTTCCACCCAGTAGTGTTAACAAAAGCCTAAATTGAAAGAAAAATAGCTTCAGAACATCGTTTTTGAAAATATTCATAAAGAACTCATCTTATTGGTGGATTGCTAATCAATCAAATTTTGATATACTTTGACGATCTCGGATCTTCTTTCTTGAATGGTGAAAATCGTAGCTCTCTAGCTCTTTCCATTGTTGAGTTATTGCAAAAATACTTGCAACAATTATTTTTTTGAACAGACATTTGTAACAAAACTAATTAAAAAGGTTCTTAAGAAAAATTCAATTAATGATCTTTTATTTATCCAGTACCTTTTGATAAATAAGCAGTGTCTATTAACTCGAAATTAGTCGCTAAAAAGAATACCGTTATCGTTTTATTATAGGGCAAAGATTATCAGCGTTTGCATTATAATTGATCGTAACGATTGGACTTTGAGATGCAAACTTCGTATTACGAGGATCGTTCAAACAGTTTCGAAATTGATTTTATTTAAAAACAATAAGAAGCACGACTGCATTAGTATTATTGTCTACGTATAGTTCATATAGTCCTCAATCTATAGACATCATGAGTTCTGATAGATTAAGCATTTATATCCAGATATAGTAATATAACTTTTTAGATCATCTCATATGTACAGATAGAAACCGAAAAACTTGAACAAAGTTTTGTGCTCTGAATAGTGAATTCTCATTCAACATTTATGAACGTATGGTGATAGCTTATAATGATAATGTTTTATCGTTCACTATGGTTTTTGAACGGGTTTGTCATTTTAAAGATGGATAGGTAAATACTGATATATGAACAGTACATAGTTTTTCAAGTGCTATCGAATGTGATATTCATCTTGAACAAACTTTAGTCATATGTAATTGATCAGGTAAAATATATCCGACACTATGCATTTGAAATGCGAAAAATGTTCACTATTTGTTGAATTGCGATTTGAAGCTTTTCGATGACTACCCTAGTGGAAATACTCATCAACCGAGTACGATTTGCCAACATAAGTACTCGACCAATTTTATCTGTATGAATACTGTTCATATACTCTAACAAGTCTTTATACGAGTTTTTCTCTACAGATTTACTCATAGGCAACGACATGATTACTCAATGTACATAATCCTCATGTTTGTCTTTTTGCAGAATATTTAGCAGAACATTTATGCACTTGTATGTACAAAAATAGATTGAAATTATTTAATAAAGATAAATGACATAAAACAACGGGCAATAGAAAGCACCTATGTTAACGACTTATCTAACTTATCCTCTATTATTTGCTAATAAGTCATTTATACGACTTAGTTGAATGGTGACTTTCAAGGAAAAAAAAGAAAAACAACTTTTCATTTTAAACTATTAACTTGTCGGATGAGATTAAATATTTGTTTAAATGTGTTAATAGAGATTTGTTTAAATTCAATTTTCCAAAAATTTAGATGAAAAATTCTATATTAAAATACAGATTGTCAGATTTATTGTAAAATGCAATGAAACAAAACGAACTAACAACTCTTATTACAAGTTGATTGTAATTTTAAATCAAGAAGACATCTGCAGTGAGGGATCTTTTTCTTTTCCTATATTTTGCTATGCTTCATCTATGTTTTAGTGTATTCTTACTTTATGAGATAAAAATAAAGAAATCTTTATTGTTAATTGAAAAAGTTAGACATTCCTTTATTCTGATATCATAAAAATAGGACAATTTATTCTCTAATGATAAAAATTTTTCTAGTTCTATTAGTTTTTTTTTTGTTTCGAAGCGTTAAGATAAAGTGATAATTGCAGTTCTCATATTCATTTTTTTCTTAAATATTCATTATGTAAGTCTATACTTTTTGTTATTTAATCATATATCTAAATAGAATAGATATAATACGACAATACTGAACAGAATATAGGCTTATGGATATTTTTCATGAACCCTTAGTGTACACAAAAACTATATAGAAGTACCCAAAAAATATCTAGTATTACACAGTGAATATTCATGAGTTCTCGCTTAATGAGTATCTTCACTAGGATAGGTTTCTAACTGTTTCAGTATTTGTATCATTCATATCAAGCATCATCGTCAATATTTAATAATCTATTTTTAAGACAGCTATTATATTCAGAAACTAGTGTATCATGGAGTATCGATCACGATAACCTACCATCATACGTTCACAAATATTGGATGGTGACTGGTCTTTCAATGTTAGAAACTTTATCACTGAAAGATGTCCAAATTTTAAAATTTTCTATCAATGTATATGAAGTGATCTAAAAAAAACATTGCTATATCTGAACATAAATACTTAATCGATCAGAGTTCATGACGTTTATAGATCGAGAACTGTATGAACTACACATAGACAACAATAGTAATGTAGCAGTGTTTCTTATTGTTATTAAATAAAGTCAGTTTCGAAACTTTTGAATGATCAACGTATTCAAACGTAACAAGTAAAATCTACTGCACTCACCAATTGAAACAAAAGTAAAAAAGAATTTTTGATTAAGTAATATTGTAAATTTTTTTTCAACTGTTTTATACTGCTTCTAATAAAAAATGAACAGTCACATTTCCAAATTCTGACATCATAATACTTTTCATTCTTTAAACAAATATCTAGTTGATCTTATAAGAACTTCTATTCATGACAACGATAAAATTTTATAAGGTTTGAATCATTTATCGTTCGAAGATATGATCTTGACATGTAACATATGTCATGGGGATATTCGGTAAATTAGTCATTTATGTGACTGATACTCGTACATTAAACATCATGACAGATATTGTTTGAATGATAAAAATATAAAACATAATATTAAAACAATATTTCATTTGCTTTTTATATGTAAATATTAAACTATTTCGTTAATATATAAATAAATTCCTTGTTCATTTTTGTAATATAAAAAGAAAAATTCTACCTGCATATTCACATAAACCAGTTGGAGTTTTTGTTACATTTGTTGTCTCATTAGCAACATTTGTGTCTGGAGGTAATAAACATCGACCTGTCCAACGTCCATTCATATATGGTGTAAATGTTTTATTGAAACAATCACTATCATCTTTACATTTTGCTCCTCTAACTTTTTTACTCTCAGCACATATAGATCGTGTTTGATCAGTTTGAATAAAACTTGTCATTATAAAAATAGCATTATTTTCCGATGCTGGAATAATATAATCTATTAAAATAAAATAATCATTCTATTCTCAATATATAATTCTTTGTTTTTTTTTCAATATACCTGCTACATCAATAATAATAGTTTTATTTTCTGTTGTTTGAACATAACCGATACCTTTTACTTTAAGTGTTACCGCAAATATAGGTGCTGTATCTTGTTTTTGATAACCTTTTTCATATATAAGTAAATATATTACAGAATAAAGAAGAATCATGATTTGTATAATACGAAGTAAAGTAGCATATTTTGGATTATTTATAACAACTAATTTTGGTGTTTCATATTCAGTGAAATAACCCGTAAGAAATTCTTTCACACTTTTTCCAATATGATAACGAGTTTTGTAAAACACATTTGACACCATTTCTTTACAAAAAAAAATGTATTATATATATATTCTAGAATAGAATTAATAATAATTTTTGGATAATTTTTATAAGAAAGAAAATTTACTGTATTAAAAACATAGTTTATTGGTTACCTAATAATTTTTTGTTTCTTCTCTCAATAATAATAATTTCACAGGACAAATATTTATATTTATTAAATAAGATAGAGAAAAATGCACTGATATTACAGATAGCATATATTACTCTAATTTGCACTAAAAACAGTTCAACTCAAAAAAAGTCGTATGTGTTATCTTATAGCCTTGTATATTGCTAGAAAAAAAAACCTTACAGTAATGATTTGTTTGGTGATGACATATTTTGTTGACAGCGCAAAACATGATATTCAGCTAGAATATTATTCGTTTGTCGAAATACCGCCAACTATCTTCATATTATACGATAGAATTATAGAAAGGCAAAAATACTAACGCACTGCCTTCAGTAACGGCTCTTAATTGATTTATGTTGAGAGAAAGAAAATAAAAGTGTTATATACAAGAAGCTAAAATATCTCCTTATATTAGATTCTAAGACACTTTTGGGAAATAATATTATACCTATTGAAAAGAATTATAAATTATTTTTTCATGAAGTCACATGTTGACAAATAAGGACATATAAATTCAATAAGTCTATTATTGTATTTTATCGATTTGTAATCAACAGATCTAGATAAAAAAAATGACTAAATTCAGATGTGCTCATATCAAATACTCTTTGATGATATCTTCTTCAATTGTTTTCTTATCTTGAACTTTTATGTCCATAACAACAAACTTCTTTCTTGATATCTACTCTAACATCTATGCATCAACATCGTATTCTAAAAATATTACTCTTTTTCTTCTATCTCCACACTCCTGTATTTATATTCTTAAGCCTCTAGATCTATTCAGTATCCCACAGCGACAACCATTTACATCAAGTTCTGTCATTAGTTTTATACCCTCATATCTACACTTCTTTGTACACATTTTTATTCAATATTTTGTATCTCTATAACTATATCCTTAGCTTTTAGTTTTTAATCGATCTTGTTTATTCTTATTTATTTCATAGTTATTTTCTCATATTTATATATCAATATTTATTCACTACATTTATTTCTTTTGCTAAATAACTTTATCTATTTCCGTAAAATTGATTCATATAGTTTTTTATGTTTATACTTTTCTTTATATATCCACAGATTTTTAATAATAAATAAATATAAGAACAAGTGTCACTGTCTTATTTATTTGATTACTCATTTATTGTTTACGTTTCAACGTTTATTTCTGACAATGAAATCTTTTGATCAGGGACATGCTCTAATACATGCATCGAAAGATATAAGAAGTTATATTTGGTGGCACATTAGAAAAACATGTGTTGCAAAGAAAGTTATTTTCATACGTATGACCTAGTGTCTTATAAGTTTGTTAGCATTTAAAGAACATCAACACAATCGAAAATTCAGATTCGATCATCTGATTTTATGAAAAACTCTCAGAATCATTCGAACTTTACAAGAAGATTTTGTCTTTGAATGCATCATTCGTGAATGAATATTTATTTAATTTAAAAAAATGTGTGCATACTCTATTCTTCTTTTCTCTTGAAGAATTAGAACTGTAATAATATTTAGTCCAATAATATATTAAAAAAGAATATGTCTTCGTATCGTTTGATTGTATGATAAATTCGAAATATCTTGATCATATCTATTTAGTTAAGATATCAATCATTATATAATATCCTTAAAGTCATCATGACATTCCAAATGCGTATTACTCAATTACTTATTATTAAGCGTAGTTCAATACAATTTTTTTTTGTATTTATTTGTAAGAGAAGAGTTATGAATTTTTATTCTTAAAGACAAAGTTCATGAATACTTTTGAATGTCTATCAGTTCTAATTGTAACTTAAAAAGTTTAGTATTTTTCCAGTGTTATACAAAAATGCGTCATTTTTTTTTCTATTTTTACTTCACTTTATATCGTTACTATTGAGTTTAAATCATTAACATATCTGATTACTGTTTTATTAGCATCGAATGAACAGTTTTTGAAAAGATTGACAAACTAGTATATTCTCCGAAAGTGCTTTGCTGTTGTCACAGAAGACAATTTGATAATCGGTCGAAAGAATGTATTGACCCATTTCTTCGTTCTTACTGTCATTAGGCATAGTATTGATATATTCCGTTGGTAAAGACATCAAAATGAATCTTAGCCAAGCTTTTGTAAGATATGTTAATGATTCTAACTTCATAATAACAATATAAATTGACCTCTTCCCTTTCAGATAGCAAAAACAAAGAAGATGTCTTATATTAAGTTTGATCGATAATGACGTTACATGCATTTGAAATATGATTATGATTTTCGAAACGTTGTGTAGAGTATTGGTTTATAGTTGTATAAAGGAAAGAATTTGTCTATTAGATTGTTGTTTATATTTAGAACAATGACTAAATATAGGCCGAAGGATAAAGATCATACATAAATAAGAAAAAGAAAAAATATTTCAAATATGTCTCGACGATTAATATAGATAACAAGAACTTTGGTTTCTTTTCATTAAAAAAAAAGAATAAAACGCAAAAAAAATATATATCCCGTGTTATTAATCTTTTCATTGCTTATATACAAATACAAATTGACGCATTTCTACACTGTCATAATATTCTATGTATCGTGTTAATTATATTGGCATCAACGTGTGACAGTTGTTTTTTTCTATCAACTTCTTTTTTATATCTTAGGCTTCTTTTAGCTTTCTGTTACATCAAAAAAAAAAAACTTTGTACTAAATAACTTGTTCTTACCAATGGATTTTTTAAATAGAACAAAAATTTTATTTGATGATAAAAGAAATCAGTCTGATTCTTTCTAGAACCAGTATATCTATCTACGTATCTAATCGAATCATATGTATATAAACAAATTTAATGTGATGATTGACAAGAAAAGAATATCTTCATCATCGAGAATAATATTTATTCTTTTAACATTAATCTTTTTTTTCTCTTGATTTTATTTCTTTAGTGAAAAATACTATTTTGATATTGAATTATGTTATGATAATCGTTGTCAATTATCTTATTGTTATTGTTAAAAACGAAACTGTTCCAGGTGGATTAACCATACGAGATACTCCATAGTTCATTGTCATAACACTTTTAATCGGCAAGCGGCATAACTAGAATTCTTTTGATGGTTAAATGCTGATCTACCCATTTTTGAAAACGTATTTACGTTCATGAAGATTATTTCTTTATCATAGAACAAAAAATAAAAATAAAAAAAAAACAATATTATATATTTTTCATTCATTTGGACATCTGCGATGATAGGAATATTGCATTATCAGCACTGCAAATGAATATTGAATTAACTAATAGAACAGTCGTAAGAACTATTTTTAGACATGTCAGACTTGAAAGTTAAATTTCAAGTTTCCAACTATTTCTGATACACATATAGAACATTTCTTGAATACCTGGATTGGGTAGTTGAATACTTGAATTCGAGCTTCAAGTTTGACGCTACTGATAATCCAGATGGTTTGTTTATTTATTTAACAAATAAAATATGTTTTTGCTTTTAAATTCTTTAGATTGTCTTATTAATGTCACTATTTTTCTTAAAAGTCATATTGAAACAAATTATTGTTTACTTCGAAGAGTTTTACAATATGGAAATATTGAATTTATTATAACATCAATTTCGAGCGAGTAAATTTTTTGCAAATCTAATTTTTAATCTCAATAATAAGAATATTAGTAAAAAACTGCGGACAGCCGTGAATATCACGAAAGTTGCAGCATATGATAGAGTTCGGAATGAATATTAATCAGACGCTCCTTTTGATCTACACTGTTCTTTTCACTGAAATATAGCCTTTTTTGTGGTCATCAACGCCCATAATTATTTTGTTTTTGACTTATGCAAGATGTTTTACAATTAAAAAACAAAGATGTGTGTATCCTTTAAGATCTCTTGTTCAACTATATCCGCACGAGTTCCAATACAAATTGGTGTAATCAATAAAAGTAGCAAAAGTACATTATGTTCATCATCAAACTCTTAATTATTTCATATATTAATTGATCAAGATGATGTAAAATCATTTGGTTTATTTATATTTAAATATTCATGTTAGTTTTTCAGATATAAATTTGTTTCTAGTGCTTGTCATATGTGATTTGTCCTAGCCATTGGTACTCACTAAGAAAAAAAAGTGTCTCGAATTATTGTTGAGAAGCTGCTTAACAGTGTAAATTTGTTCATTGTTTTCCTGATAGTCGTGTGTATCAAATTCGGAGCTGGACAATTCAACTCAACTTAGTCGCATTCAAAATTTCTAGTGAATATATTTGTTTGTCCCAAGTCAAGATATACAGACCGGAAAACTCGAAGAAATCTTAGGAACTTGGTAGCAGAAATCTGGTAGTTGGCTTTGTTCGGTTCCGATCGAAACTAGAAGAATCTGGCTACCAGATCTGATCATCGGATTCCTGCTTTCAAATTGCTACCACTTTTCTGAGTTTTTCGATGGACTTTCGTCAGAAATCTACGGATCTGGGCTCCAGAATCATCGATCTTGGTTGTTTTTCTTCATTAAACGATTTGGAATGAGTTTTATTGCTGTATCATCACATAAAAAAATTTCGTTCCCTTCATATCAGTACATAACTAGGGTTATTTATTATAGAATATTTTGGAGTATTTATACAACAACAATAATAGACTTCAAGAGAAAGTCATAGCTGAATCAAACATCATTGAACAAGAAGTATAACACTCACACTTCCATGAAATCATTGTGAGTTTCATTAATGCAACATATCATGCAATGATTTTTCGTCTATCTTTAGGCCATTGTTAAATGAAAAGGAAAATATAGCTAGGTAACATTAAATAGGTAAAAGAGATCATGAACGTGTTTCAATGTGAAATGAGATTTTTCCGGTAATGTAGACAACATTGAGTATGGAAAATAGAAAATATATGTGTCAAATATTTCTTATATGAAGAATATTCTTGGTGGTTACAAAAGTTTTATTTTTATTCATAGAATATTATCGATCAATGAAACGTTTCTCTCGTTATCAAACAACGTAACCGATATCAATAGAAGATAAAGAAAATATCCTAGGTCTTTTATTTGAAAATTTCGCTTATCGATCATTTCCTTGTTAAACGTTTGATTGAGACTTTACTTGAAAAATGATTTGAATGGTGAATAGCAACTATACTATAATATATTTGAATTTTCTTCATTGGTTAATCGAAGCTTCATCATCTTCACAGATATTTATTATTACTCTGCTTCGCTGTTATGTTTTTGAATATAAAGAGAACTTTTTTCGATCTACATCAATCATCATACGTTATTATAGTCATGTTCAAAATACCTTTGTTAGTGTTGATGCATAACGCCGAAAGTTCAGATTTTTTTTTTATCAATGATTTACAAGGAGTGCTTTTTGATAAATCATGCTATTCGTCTTTCGAAATACAATGTTATTAGAAATCCGTTAAATAGAAAGGTACACTATTTCTCGTTTTTTTATATTTACATTTCTATGTGTTGTTTTTATATTCAATGTAAATAAGTTGAATATAATAGATGGTATGTAACCTGTTAATGAATTTGCACGAGTTAATAGTTATATCAAAATCTTACTTAAAAATTTGTCATATTCTAATGAACATTACAGGGCAAGTCAAGATTTTTTCCATAGAGTTTCTGATCTATTTTTCGGTATCTATGTTGCAAAAAATCTTTTCGATTGCAGAACACTTTAGAAAATAAAAAAACTCGATTTTACCTTTCATGTTTTTGAAGAAGGAAATTATCTTCATAGGAAATAGAATAAATTTTTTCGATTCTTTTAACAGGGAAGTTATTCTCATCAGTGACTTATTCATCTAAGACATTGTTTTTCAAGAAGCACAAGTGATTAAAATTATCCAAATTCAAGTTTTACGTCTTTAAAATGTGATTATGCTTATATAACTGAGATTATTCATCGCGACAAAAATTTTGGATCATAAAAATCCTATTTCTATATCGGTTCTTATCAAAAACTAAACACTCATCATATACAACTTATGATATCTGTTTAAAAGTTTTTGCCAGAAAAAGTGGTCATATTCATGAAAATTATTCAAGAGCGAAATTCTTTATAAAACTAATAATTGTTTCTACGAGCTGATAAGATTGACGATCTAAGTTTTATAGTGCAATGAGCGTCCTAAGATTTGACAGCGAATAAGGAGGTCAATAATCAATTGAAGGGGCTATGTCATATTCCATTCGATTCAGTTTCGCTCTCTATTACTTGTCATCATATTGTTAATATGGGCAGCAGTCATTAAAGCATCAATGAACATTTCTATTGCGACGAGAATGCACCGTCTACTCATAATATCTATGTTACATTTGTAGAATATGTTGATTGCTTCTATCAAATAGAAAGTTGTAAGCTCAAACTGATTGTTTTCACTGTGATAAAGTGCGTTACAGATAGAGCAGAATATTTTAGAGAACTTCGAGAAGAGCACTTTCAAATAATGCCTTTAGTGTGAATGTTGCTGATATATAATCATTCAAAATGATGTTACAAAGTGTACGTTTAGCATATGTTGGCGATAATGTGGTATTGGCAATAAGAAACTCTTGAAAACACTGAACAAGATATTGTAGTCAATGTACAGACAGAAATTAGATGTGAATGATACGTAACGGTTGGTCTAATACTAGTTAAAATATCCGAAAGATCTTTTGGTGATGCTATAGAACTTCCTCTTTGTCATGAAATTGCTTCAATGCAGCAACGTCGGGTTAAACTATCGAATTCACATGCATTGGATGTATTTCAATGTAGAATAAAATCGATAATTTATTTCACTAACAAGAACTATCAATGTGAACAAAAATGAAAACTAATTTTCTGTCACAACTTGCTGATTAGAACCAAAACCATTGAAGTATAATTAACATGCCAACGCTACCTTTAAAGATTTTTTATTTCCTCTGAGACATCTGAACGTCTCTCTATATTCGGAAAGTAGACGATTGAGCATGATGACATCGATTTCTTATGTATTCTATCGCTAATGATTGATGAAGATCTTGAAATTAAAGTCAAACTAAAGACGTTGTGTTGAAATTCATCGTTCATAGACATGTATTGGATGACTTATGAAGAAAATCACATAGGATGTGCCGTAGGATAGCATCACTTGTTTAATACGTTTTTTTCAAAACTGTTTTTCTATGCCAGTTTTCGCCTATTATTTTCAAACTTTTTACAAGACTTATCCACCAACTTTTTTTTCACTTTTACTTTATGAAGACGAGTTGACGGACATTATAAAAACATATCATTGACGTTTAGAAAATAAAACAGAACTTCAATAGTTCATATATTAAGATAGCACATTGTACACATCGAATAATGAAAAGACAAATGAGTGGTTCACTCGTTATACGGAATGTCGTGCACTGCTACCTACTTATCTGTATGCACAAGTACGATTTTGTATTTCATTGTATTTGCTACTCTCTTGCTTATTTGGTTAGGAAAATGCTTCAAGTTGTCATGTGTAGCATCCTACGTAAAGGTAGAGATATTTTTTGGATTATATTATGTTACTGCACCACTAACAGATTAGGTACAAACAAGACGACGCTTTTGTCAACCGATGACCGAATGTAAGTCATGCAAGCTACTAGATCAGATAAGACACCTATATAGATGAAGGAATTGATGATTAAATGTGTGAAAAACAATATGAGATCTACAAAACACGACAGGTAAACTATAACATAACTACGTCCGGATTTGAATGATGTTAACCAAACAAGGTTATCGTTTTTGTTGATAGGTGAACTTTTAATTTTTGCAGAATAGGACTTATTCTATTTCTTCATCTACTAGTCAAGGTAAGAATGAGTATTACAGTGGAAAGAGATCCTATTCCAGTTCCATATCTTTCTCGAAGGTTGAGTAAGTTAAGTCGAGTGTTGTGCATGATAGAAGAGTATACTCACAACCACATCATATCTAGATTTATAATATTTTGACACAATCATTTCGAATGATATACATACAATACATTGTTTGAAAAATCAATTTTCGATTAAATAATAATTCCAACTCCAATAGGTTAAGTTTTTATTTATTTCAAAAATATATATTTATATATAAGTATATATATATATATATAGATAGATAGATGATAATCAAAAAATAAGGATAAAAACCAAATTTTCCACAAAGAAAACCGTTGTTATCTATTATATAAAATACCTCGCTCAAAAAGTTTTTTAACATTCTGATTCAATCGAACTAATAAAAGAAGTTGGACCGACTGTAACTTGTTTTTCTGAAGGTGCTGGAGTACTATTAGGTGTTTCAAATGATAATTCTGCTTCCACATTTGAGTGTATTTTTGAAAATGTATCATCACGTCTTTTAAGAAATATTCTTGGCATTGCTATTGTACTAGTAGAACGTGTTCGTAAATGAACAATTTCAAAAACATGATTCCGATAAAGAGATGCTCTTTTTGATATATGAAGTAGTATAATATCACAAACAAATGTTGCCAAACCAAATAGTCCAACTAATGAACCAGTATTTAAAGTTAGTTTAATAAAATCAAATTTTCCAGCTTTACCACTAATAGTAATTACTAAACGAAGACCAAAAGCTTTAGTTAATACACGAAAATCTGTCCGATTATATTTCCAATGAGAAGCATAACGAAAATTAAAACCAGCTGAAAATGGTTTTTCATGAAAAGGTACATCAAGACGAGCAAATGAATATTCAGGTTTACATAATTTTATATTTCGATCTAAATTACAATCCCAATCAATTTTAATACATACAATACCACCATAACGTAACATTAAATTACGTTCAGTAATATTTGTTTCAACTTCATTCATTATATAATTAATACTGAATATTGGACAATCTTTGTGATGTTGTGGATGAAAAATACATGGTTTTTTTAATTCATCAGCCATATTTTTATGTTTAACTTGGAACGCTGGAAATTCAATAAAATTTTTTATAAATATTGTAAAATTAAGAGTTTCTTGAACAGGCATTGTCGGTGACTGATCATCTTCTGGTGGACACCAACCTATAAAAAATATCATTCTAATCACATTCAATGCACAAGTAATTGCACAAATTGTTGACTCTTGTATTTTTTCATAGATATGGTTCTGGAAACAAAATTCTATTGCCATTCAATAGGAAATATTTTCCTCTTTCAAACTGTATATTACTCATTTTTTATTAGACGCGTCTAACTAAAACAACAAGAGAAGAAAGAGAAGCACCCTAAAAATAATTTTGCACTTATCATATATTAGAAAAAAACGGCATAAAACGTCGATCTCTCTATCTCTTCTTAAAAAACGTGTCACAAGGGATAATATTTTTTACCAGTTGCTAGGAAACTTTTTTCTCTTTCTAATTGTATATCATTACTTTTCATCGTCTAGCATGAGATCACAATTACGAGAAGTCATTTTGTACAACTTGCCATAAATTTTTCTAGAATTTTTTTCTTAAATTATATTATGCGTTTTTTTCGGAACTTTTCTACATTTTCTCATTATCACTGATGTTCTTCGATGTAAATTACGGTTAATAGTTGCTTGATTAAGATTACAACATTTAGCTAATTTACATTGACTGATATCACAATGATTGTTAACAGAATTCACGAGGTGTTTTAATCTTCGATTGGAAAGTTTTAATGGATGGACGCTTTTTGGTAAAAATTTTGTTTGTCCATATTTTAAATATTTTTTATAAGTCGATATAAAAATTGAAAAATTGTTGCGCAAATGCTTATCTTTCTTCACATATCATTTTGTTTATGAATATTTGACGAAAACAAATTATATAGTAGTTAGGAAGCAGAAAAAATTTTCTATCAGCTGGTAACAAATTATCGTTCTGACACGTCTTTCTAAAAGAGATATAGGGATCAACATTTTGTGTCATTACTTTTGCATCATATGTTAAAAAAGCTAATTAAGGAGCTTTTTAAGAAAAATTCGATTAATATACTTTTAATTATCTAATATCTTCTGATGAATAAACAATCTTTATTTAAAATTCATTGAATTGTTAAAAGAAATAACATTGTCCTATTATTCAAGGGGAAAGACTTTCAGTTTTTGCATCACTATTTTATCGTTAAGATTAAAATTTGAACGATAAACTTAATATGTGTCAAACGTAACAATTGGAAACTAATAAGCTCAACTACTGACACACAAGCAAACAAAAAAAAGTTTTGATTAAGTAATATTGTAAAGAACAAGCTCATCTCAGATGTTGATTTGGTTCACAGAGTAGCTTCAGTTACTTCATTGGTCATTCTATGCCAAAAAAATATGCTGATTCTTTTGATAACAAACTTACACAAAATTATCAGGATTGGATGTTATTCTGGGGGTAGAGTATCCATAAATGGTTGTTGAACTTATATTGGTCTCTCTATTTGCTCAATATTAGTCCTATACACATAAATTTTTAGCAATGTGCCAAGCTTATTCTGCATTAGTTAGAAAGAGCCTTTCATTCTATCTCATTGTTGTTACATAAAATGAGATAGAATGAAATGCTCCTTCTAACTAATACAGAATAAGTTTGAAAGATTGCCAAAAATTTATGCGTTGAGATCTAATGCTGAACAAGTAGAAGTTCAATGAAAGTTTCAATGACTATATCTGACTATTCTACCACCAAAGTTATGTTCAATCTTAATAATTTTTCGCAAAATTATTTGTTAAAACAATTGTCATATTTTTCTGCATAGAATCATCATCAAATCAACCGAAATTACTCTGTGAATCAAGTCAACATCTTATATGCTCTTGTACCTTGTTTAACCGTTTATACTCTACCTAAAAAGAAAGGATATTCATATTTTCAAACTCTAAAATCATAACACTTCTCATTCTTCAAACAAATATCTAGTTGATCTTATAAGAATTTCTATTCATGACAACGATAAAATTCTATAATGTGCGAATGATTTATCGTTCGAAGATATAATCTTGACATGTAACACATGTATGGGAGTATTCGGTAAATTAGTCATTTACGTGACTGATATTCATATATTAAACGTCCTGTTAGATGTTGTTTGAATGATAAAAATATAAATAAATTCCTTGTTCGTTGTTGTAATAAAAAAAAACAAAAACTCTACCTGCATATTCACATAAACCAGTTGGAGTTTTTGTATTATTTGTTGTTTTATTGACAGCATTTGTGTCTGGAGATAATAAACATCGACCGGTCCAACGTCCATTCATCTTTGGTGAAAATGTTTTATTGAAACAATCATTATCATTTTTACATATTGCTTCTTTAACTTTTATACTTTCAGCACATGTAGATCGTGTTTGATCAGTTTGAATAAAATTTGTCTTTATAAAAATAGCATTATTTTCTGATGGTGGAATAATATAATCTATTAAAATAAAATAATCGTTCGACTCTCAATATATGATTTTTTGTTTCCGTTTCTATATACCTGCTACATCGATAATAATAGTTTTATTTTCTGTTGTTTGAACATAACCAATACCTTTTACTTTAAGTGTTACTGATGACGTAATTGTCGTACTTTGTTTTTGATAACCTTTTTCAAATAGAAATAAGTATACTATAGAATAAATAAGAATAATGATTTGTATAATACGAAGTAAACCAGCATATTTTGCACTATGTATTGAAACTAATTTTGGTGTTTCATATTCAGTGAAATAACCCATAAGAAAATTTTTCACACTTTTCCCAATATGATAACGATGTTTGAAAGATACTTTTGAACCCATATCTTACAATAAAATTTATTTATATATTCTAGAATAGAATTAATAATATTAGTCGATGACATTTGCAAGAAAGAAAATTTGCTATATTCAAAACATCGTTTATTTGTTACCTAATAATGTCTTGGTTTTTGTCTTCAATTAGTATATTTTCATAGGACAAATATTTATATTTATTAAATAAGATAGGGAAAAATGCACTGATATTATAGATAGCATATATTATTCTAATTTGCACTAAAAACAGTTCAACTCAAAAAAAGATCGTATATGTCATCTTATAGCCTTTTATATCGCCAAAAAAAACCTTACAGTAATGAGTTGTTTCCAAATGACATTTGTTATTGACAGCACCAACTATTATATACAACTCTACTATTGTTCGTTGTCGAAATTCAGTCAGTTGTCTCCATGATCGATAATGGAATAATAGAATAGCAAAAATATCAATGCATTGCCTAGAATAGCGTCTTTTCATTAATTTCTTCTCAGAGAAAGAAAATAAAAAATATTAGATACAAGAGGAATAAGGCGTATATATATATATATATATCGAATTCTAAGAAATTTTTGGAAGATAATGTTATACCTGTTGAGAAGAATTATAAACTATTTTGCCATGAAGTCACATGTTGACATATAAAGACAAGTAAATTGAATAGTTCTATTATTGTATTTTGTCGATTTGTGATCCACAGATCTAAATAAAAAGTGACTAAATTCAGATATATTCATATCGAATATTCTTTGATAATATCTTCTTCAATTGTATTCTTATATTGAACTTCTATATCCATAACAACAAACTTCTTTCTCGATGTCTACTCTAACATCTATGCATCAATATCGTATTCTAAAAATATTACTCTTTTTCTGCTATCCCCACACTCCTGTATTTATATTCTTAAGCCTCTAGATCTATTCAGTATCCCACAGCGACAACCACTTACATCTAGTTCTGTCATTAGATTTATATCCTCATATCTGTACTTTGTATACATTCTTATTCTGTTATTCAATATTTTATATCTATATAACTATATCCTTAGCTTTTAGGTTTTAATCGATCTTACTTATTCTTAATCATTTTATAATTATTTTCTCACATTTATACATCAATATTTATTCATTACGCTTCTTTGCTTTACCGAATAATTTTATCTACTTTCGTAAAATTATTTTACATTTTTTTATGTTTATGCTGTTCTTTATATATCCACAGATCTTTAACGACAAATAAATACAAAAACAAGTGTCACTGTCTTATTTATTTGATTACTCATTTATTGTTTACGTTTCAACATTTATTTCTGACAATGAAACCTTTTGACCAAGGACGTACTCTGATACATTCATCGAAAGATATAAGAAGTTATGTTCGATGACACATTAGAAAAATATGTATTGCAAAGAAAGTTATTTTCACACGTATGACTTAGTGTCTCATAAGTTTGTTAGCATTTAAAGAACATCAACACAATCGAAAATTCAGATTCGATCATCTGATTTCATGAAAAACTCTCAGAATCATTCGAACTTTACAAGAAGATTTTGTCTTTGAATGCATCATTCGTGAATGAATATTTATTTAATTTAAAAAAATGTGTGCATACTCTATTCTTCTTTTCTCTTGAAGAATTAGAACTATAATAATATTTAGTCCAATAATATATTAAAAAAGTGCATGTCTTCAAATCGTTTGATTGCATAATAAATTTGAAATATCTTGATCATATCTATTTAGTTAAGATATCGATCATTACATAGTATCTTAAAAGTTGTCATCACGTTTCAAATGCGTATCACTCCATTATTGATTATTATACTTAATGCAATACGTTGCTTGTATTTATTTGTAAGAGAAGATTTATGAACTGTTATTCTTAAAGACAAAGTTCATAAATACTTTTGAATGCCTATCAGTTCTAATTGTAACTTAAAAAGTTTAGTATTTTTTCAGTGTTATACAAAAATGTGTAATATATTTTTTTCTATTTTTACTTCAATTTATATCGTTACTATTGAGTTTAAATCATTAACATGTCTCATTACTGTTTTATTAGCATTGATTGAACAGTTTTTGAAAAGATTGACAAACTAGTATATTCTCCGAAAGTGCTTTGCTGTTGTCACAGAAGACAATTTGATAATCAGTCGAATGAATGTACTGACCAATTTCATTGATTTTACTATCACTAGACATAATATTGGTATATTGTGTTTGTAAGAACATATCAAAATGAATTCTAATCAAGCAGTCATAAGATATGCTAATGATTCTAACTTCACAATAACAATATAAATTGAACTCATCTCATTCCAATAGCAAAAAAGGAAAGACGTATTAGATTAAGTTTGATCAATAATGTTATTATATGCATTTGACATATGATTATGATTTTTGAAAGATTCTGCATAGTATTGACTCTTAGTCATGCAAGGAAAAGAATCTGTCTATTAGATTGTGGTTTATACTTAGGAGACTGAATAAATATCCTCCTAGGAATAAGAATTGTATATAAACAAGAAAAAGAAAAAAATATTTCAAATATGTTTCGTCTATTAGTGCAGATAAAAAAGAACTTTGGTTTTTTCCATTAAAAAAAAAGAGAAAATGCAGGAAAATTTGATCCGTAGTTATTGATCTTTTCATCAATTATATAAAAACGCAAATTGATGCATATCAAGATTTGAATAATATTCTATATATCATATTAATTATATTGGTATAAATGAGTGATAGTTGTCTTTTTCTATCATCTGTTGTCGTATATCATGCTTCTTTTAGCTTTCTATGATATCAGAAAAAGACTGCGCTATATATCTTGTTCTCACTAATGGACTTTTTGAATAAAACTAACATTTTATTTGATAATATAACAAACCAGTCTCATTCTCTATAGAACTAAATAGTGTATCTACACTACTTGCCAAAAGTATTCCACTCGTTGCATCTTAGCCTTTTTGAGAGCTAAAAGTCAGAGAACTGTTCTGCGGATACCTTGCAAATAATGTAGGTCAGCTCTAATATCAACGCCAGAATCACTCAAACTAGAACGAAGTTGTAATATGTGACATTCACGATCTCTATATATCTCGTAACTCGAGAACGGATAAATATTTTGAGTCGTCAAATTCCTCATTTTTTTAACTCTACATTATGACTATTTCTAATATAAATTTTATCGGAGTTCGTCAAACTATTGATGAACCAGTCTATTTTTTACCGAAAATATGGATATGCAAAGAAACTATAGAATACTATTGTAGGGCCAATAATTCAGCGATAGGTTGATGGATCAATATGAAATTTTCCAGAGATATTCCACGAAAAGTGATCGTTGTTTTCCAAAAAGATTCAGAAACAAACGTTTCCCTAAACGAAAATGGCACACCGATAAGCATCGTGAACTTCTGAAGGCACTGGGGTTTTCATTAGTCAAGCAAAGGAGGATCTCTTTTGAGCAATGAAGGATAATGATTTGAACTATAATTTTATTCAGGAAGATCGATAATTACTCAAATGTTACTCTAAAAACAAACCACAAATCAATAAACTTATGATTTGCTATTTTTCTGCCAAATTGAGCAATCGTCTTTATTTGGCAAGATCTCGTTCAGAAAATCGTTTTGGATGGTTTTCGAGTTTTGTAGAACAAAAGAAATCATCTCATTCGAGACATTTAAACAGTTCTCTGTGAGAGTATTATAGCGAATAATGGTATACAGGGTGTTACAAAACCTTCATGCCCTCCTGATTCGACCTTAAGGTCAAGTGATTTCACTAAGTATTTTATACCAAATTGAAACTCGTAAAAAATGCATCGATGGGTGCAATTAGACCAAATATTGTCTATTACATTATTAAAAGATCTTACACTATATATCAAAATGTCATAGATTCTATAATATCGAATATATGAAAAAACGATCATATCCCTTTCTTTACTTATACCTGACTTCTGGATGCATTGTAGCTTATATCGCTTTGAAGTGTTTTTAATGTGTTTTCTTTTAGAGTAGAGTATTATCTACTCTAAGCAGCTCTTGTTCGCTATTGTTATGTTCGCATGTTACAAAACACGTGCACCAGCTAGATAATGTGTTTATTCTTAATTGAAAAAGACTCACTACTCATGATTAACAATGAAGAGGAACAGCAGAGAAAAGAAGATGATGTGTGCGTATGTGCATGTACAGATAAGAGAAGAATGGAGAAAAAAGAGAATGAATAACCAGCAGCACTGTTCCAAGTTTTTTTCATTTCTTTCGTTTTCTGAGCGTCTGTTGTTTGTGAAGATAACTTTTTCCATTACGTTAGAAATTCAATTAAATATTAATTAAATTACGGCAAGCCTGTGACATCTCAATTTAATGAATCAAAATGGCTACTGTTCTCCATGATACAGAAGAACAACGATTTGTGGACAGAATTCGTCGTATCACATACCGTTAGATATGCGATGAAATAATTGCAAGAACAGGAGATTCATTCATCATTCGCCAATGGATTTCCGAAAAGCTCCATTGTACCGAAGATTGGATATGACGAACTTGGAATTAAACAATCAAAGAATGCTATACACAATTTGACGGTGGTCGGCTTCAGGTGCTCTCTCAGGAGAGCAAGAATATTATCGCTTCTACGAGTGATATCAGGAGCAACAGCTCTCGGAAAGTTACAAGAGAAATTTTAGAGAAAACAAGACAGCGGATGAGTTATGTAACTGTTCATCGTGAACGTCATCGAAAAGGATTAAAACCATTTCACGTGATTTCAGAGCCAATGAAGACAAATACACATATTGAAGATCGGAAATGGCTCGCAAATTTTGTTGCTGATTGGACTGAGGAGGATTTTCTGCATATCGTACCCTCAGATGAATTTTATATTTATGTGCTACGAAAACCAAACCACCAAAATGACAGAATTTGGGCAAAACATATCGAAGACATCAGCGATGATGAAATATACCGTGAAATGGTTCACGATGCAAGATGCATCGGAATTTTTGTCATGTTTACTGCAAAGGAACTTCTTTGAGTCCTGAAGGAAGATGGACAATCTTGGGATGGCGCCTTTTTTCGTGAGATTATTCTTCAGAAATATGTGATTCCTTTTCTTCGCAACCCAATCAATGTTCTTCACACAAACGAAGTGATATTACTTCATGATAAGGCATTCTGCATGAAAGCCAATGCAACACAGCATTGTCTGGAGGATGAGGGCGTGAATTTCTGGGGCAATTCGATTTGGTCCGGCAACAGTCCTGACATGAATCCTGCAGAAAATATCGGTGCAATTATCAAAGATAAAATTGAAGAATTGCTGACAAGTGAAGATTGTCGAAACAGATGCAATTAAAATTTTCTCAGAACTAAGCTCGAGAATACACTCAAGGATCTTGAAGATGAGACAGATCTTTTTATTGATTTGCTGTGTTCCATGAGGAAAAGATTTCATGCTCTCGATGCTACCAGGGGAGGTCATATCAGATTCTAAAATTTTTTCATAAAAGCTTACTTTTAAGCAATTTATATTTTCAATAAATTGGCAATTCTATAAGCTACAATTCAAGTCGGTGAGTGGTGTGATAGTTCTTTCATATATTCGATATTATAGAATCTATGATATTTTGATATATAGTGCAAGATCTTTCAATAATGTAATAGACAATATTTGGTCTAATTGCACCCATCGATGCATTTTTTTACGGGCTTCAATTCGGTATAAAATGCTTAGTGGAATCACTTGACCTTAAGATCGAATCAGGAGGGCGTAAACGTTTTGTAACACCATGTATATGCACAAGTGCGATTTTGTATTTCATTGTATTTGCTACTCTCTTGCTTATTTGGTTAGGAAAATGCTTCAAGTTGTCGTGTGTAGCATCCTACGTAAAGGTAGAGATATTTTTTGGATTATAGTATGTTACTGCACCACTAACAGATTAGGCACAAACAAGACGATGTTTTTGTTAACTGACGACGGAATATAAGTTGTGTAGGCTACTAGATCACATCAGATAACCATATAGATGAAGGAATTGATGATTAAATGTGTGAGAAACAATATGAGGTTTACAGAAGATGACAGATACATTGTAACATAACTACGTTCAGATCCTAACGATCTTATCTGAACAAAGTGATTGTCCTTGCCAAGTGACGACCATTTCATTTTTTCAGAATATGGTTGATTCCATTTCTTCGTCTACTAGCCAAGATAAGAATGAGCACTATAGTGAAAGGAAACCGTATTCTACTCCTATATCTTTCTTGACGATTAAGCGGATTAAGAAGAGTATTAGCACCAGAGAAGAGTTTGCTCAAAATACCACATTCACATCGATAAGATTTTTATGCAATTATTTCGAGTGACATACATACATACAATAGATTATTTGAAAAATCAATTTTCGATTAAATAATAATGCCAATCTAAATAGGTTAAGATTTTATTTATTAAAAAAAAGAAACAAAATATGTATCTGATTATCAAAAATTAAAGATGAAAATAAAATTTTCCACAAACAAAAAACCATTATTATTTATAATATAAAATACCTAACTCAAATCGATTGCTGTGTCATTCATTGATCCGTATTAATGTAAGAAACTGGGCCGATGGTAACTCTTTTTCCTGTAGATGCTGGACTAGTTTCAGGTGTTTTATATGGTAATTGTGCGTCTAAATCTGAGTCAGAATTTGAATATTCAGCGTCAAGTTTTCGAATAAACTGTGGTGGCAATGCTATTGCACTAATAGCACGTGTTCGTAAATGAACAATTTCAAAGATATGATTCCGATAAGTATGTGCTTTTTTCGATAAATGAAGTAGAGCAATATCACAAAGAAATGTTGCTAAACCAAATATTCCAACTAATGAACCAATATTTAAAGTTAATGTAATAAAACCAAATTTTCCAGCTCTACCACTAATAGCAATTATTAAACGAAGACCAAAAGCTTTAGTTAATGTACGAACATTTTGCTGATTATATTTCCAATGAGAAGCATAACGAAAATTAAAACCAATTGAAAATGGTTCTTCATGAAAAGGTACATCAAGACGAGCAAATGAATATTTAGGTTTACATAATTTTATGCCTCGATCTAAATTACAATCCCAATCAAGTTTGATACGTATAACACCACCATGACGTAACATTAAATTGCGTTCAGTAATATTTTTTTCAGCTTCACTCATTATATAATTAATACTGAATATTGGACAATCTTTATGATGTTGTGGATGAAAAATACATGGTTTTAATTCATCAACCATATTTTTATGTTTAACTCGGAACACTGGAAATTCAATAAAATTTTTTATAAATATTGTAAAACTAGGAACATCTTGAACAAGCATTGTCGATATGTCATCATCTTCTGGTGGACACCAACCTATAAAAAATATCTCACCAGTAAAAAAGTTAATGAAGGAGTTTCTTATTAAAAAAATTCGATTAATGATCTTTTAATCATTCAGTAGCTTCTGATACATAAGCATTTTCTATTTAAACTCATTTAATCGTTAAAGAAAACACATTGTCTTCTTATTTAAGCACAAAGACTGTCAGCTTTTGCATCACAATTATCGTTAGGTTTTAAATTTGAGTAACAAACTTAATATTTATCAAATCTAACAATTGAAAGATGATGAACTCCACTATTGAGACAAAAACAAACAAAAAAAGGTTTTAATTGAGTAATATTGTAAAGAAGAGGAGCGTATAAGATGTTGATTTGATGCGTAGAACACTTTCGACTACTTTGTTGGTGATTCTATGCAGAAAAATATGGCGATTTTTTTAATCAATAAGTTTACGTAAAATTATTAGGATTGGACCTTACTTTCGGGGTAGAATATCCACTAATAGTCATTGAAACTCTCATATGACTCCTGTTTACTTAGAATTAGCTCTAACCGAATAGTTTTTTGACTATTTATCAAACTTATTCTGTGCTAATGAGAAAGAGCATTTCATTCTATCTCATTTCATGTAATAATTATTGTAATAGTTGTTACATGAAATGAGATAGAATGAAATGCTCTTTCTAACTAATACAGAATAAGCTTGAAACACAGCGAAAAATTTATGCGTTGAGGTCTAATACTGAGCAAGTAGGGATCCAATGAAAATTCAATGACTGTTTCTGAGTATTCTACCATCAAAGTAAGATTCAGTCCTAACAAATTAGTGTAAAATATTTATTTAAACAATCGCCATATTTTTCAGCATAGAATCACTAATAAAGTAGCCGAAAGTATTCTGTGAACCAAGTCAATATCTTATGTGCTCTTGTACTTTGTTTAACCATTTATACTCTATCTAAAAAAGAAAGAACTTTCATATTTCGAAACTGTGAAATTATAATTCTTTTTATTCTTCAAACGAATATTTCGTTTATCTTATAGTCATTCTTATTCGTAATATCGATGGAATTTCATAAAGTCCGAATCATTTATCTTCCCAAATATGATCTCCAAATGCTATTTTTCTCAAGGATATTCGATAAATTAGTCGTTTGGATTATTTATACGTGAGTGCCAAACGTCCTGTAAGATATTGTTTAAATGTTAGAAATACAAAACATAATACTAAAGCAATATTTCATTTGCTTTTTAAATACAAATATCAAACTGTTTCGTTAATATACAAAGAAATACCTTGTTTATTTTCGCAATCTAAAACCAAAAATTCTACCTGCATATTCACATAAACCCGTTGGAGTTTTTGTATTCTTTATTGTTCCATTGATCACATTTGTTTTTGGTGATAATAAACATCGACCGGTCCAACGTCCATTCATCTTTGGTGAAAATGTTTTATTAAAACAATCATTATCATGCTTACATCTTGCTTCTTTAACTTTTATACTTTCAGCACATGTAGATCGTGTTTGATCAGTTTGAATAAAATTTGTCATTATAAAAACAGCATTATTTTCTGATGGTGGAATAATATAATCTATTAAAATAAAATAATCGTTCGACTCTCAATATATGATTTTTTGTTTCTGTTTCTATATACCTGCTACATCGATAATAATAGTTTTATTTTCTGTTGTTTGAACATAACCGATACCTTTTAGTTTAAGCGTTACTGATGATACAATTGCTGTACTTTGTTGTTGATAACCCTTTTGGTATATAAGTAAATATACTATAGAATAGATAAGCATAATTATTTGTATAATACGCAGTAAAATAGCATGTTTTGCACTATGTATCAAAACTATTTTGGGTGTTTCATATTCAGTGAAATAACCCATAAGAAAATTTTTCACACTTTTCCCAATATGATAACGATGTTTGAACGATAAATTTGAATCCATATCTTACAAAAAAAATGTATTATATATTCTAGAATAGAATTAATAATACTAGTCGATGACATTTACAAGAAAGAAGATTTGCTCAATTAAAAACATTGTATATTTGTTACCTAATGATGTCTTGGTTTCTTGCTTCAATTATAACATTTTCATAGGATAAATGTTTGTATCTATTAAGTAAAATGGAGAAAGATGCGTTGATCGTAAAGGAAAGCGATATTTCTCAAGATACAGTAAGAGTTCAACTGAAAAAGCCGTATATGTTATCTTCATAATCTTATATATCGTTGAAAAAGATCTGACAGTAATTAGTTGTTTTCAGACAGCCGATGTTATTGACAGCACCAAGTATCATTTTCAACTCTAGTATTATTTGTTTGTCAAAATCCATCCAGTTGTCTTCATGATCTGTAACGAAGTAGTAGAATGGTAAAAATACCAATGCATTATCTACAATAGCGTGTTTTGATTAATTCCGTAGAGAAAGAAAATAAAAATGATATATACAAGAAGCTAAAATATCTCCTTATATTATATTCTAAGAGATGTTTTGGAAATAATGTTATAGCTATTGAAAAAAATCATAAAACTACTTTTCCATGAAACCGAATATTGACATATAAAGACAAGTAAATTGAATAGTTCTATTATTATATTTCGTCGAGCTGTGATCTACATATCTAGATAAAAAATGACTAAATTCTGATATGTTTATATCAAATATTTTTTGATGGTATCTTGTACAATTGTATTCTTATATTGAACTTCTATATCTATAATATCGAACTTGTTTCTTGATGTCTACTCTTTAATATCTATATATCAATATTGCATTCTTAAATATTAATCTTATTCTTCTCTCCCCACACTCCTGTATTTATATTCTCAAGTCTCTAGATCTATTCAGTATTCAACCTTGACAACCGCTTACATTAAGTTCTATCATTAGTTTTGACATCATTATATCTATACTTCTTTGTATACATTTTTATTCTTCTATTCAATATTTTATATCTGCGTAACTACATCCTTAGCTTCTAGTTTTTAATCGATCTTGTTTATTCTTTTTTTATTTTATGGTAACTTACTCATATTTATATCTCAATACTTATTCATTACACTTATTTGTTTCATCAAATAACTTTATCTACTTTCGTAAAATTATTTTACATTTTTTATGCTTATACTTTTCTTTATATGGGGCGTTCCAAAAGTCATGATCACTTAATAAATGCATATTTAGTCCAAAACTTTGGTTTTATTTGAAAGAGATGACTAGTAAATTTTTATTCTTGAAGACCAAGTTCATCGACACGGTAGAAAAGATAGCAATTGGGGCTACAATACAAAAATTTGGCTTTTTTTTCGATGTCAACAATCGTATGTAGCCTTTTTTTTCGATATCTACTTGAGTTTCGATCATTATCAAGAACTTCAGTGCTTTCATTATTGCTTTGCAATCATTTTCCAACGTATTTTAAAAAGATCGAATAGTTGATACTTTTCTTCAGTGCAGGTCGTTCATAACTCTTCGAAAACCGTTGTGACCATGAAAACAAGTACGTTAGATCATTTGATAAGTCTTCTTGTTATTAAAATTGACTTTTTTTACTTTGTTTTCTCAAGAATTTATCGGAATGAGTGTTTATAAAATTACGAAGATAAGTTTCAATGATCTGAATTGCGTAGAAGTGATAAAAATTCGTATAAATATCGAAAAAAACGCTGCATATTGTTTTTAGCATCTAAAAAAGCCAAATTTTTGTATTGTAGTCCCAAATGCTACCTTTTCTACAGTGTTGATAAAATTAATCTTTAAGAATAAAAATTTATTAGTCTTCTATTTCAAATAAAAACAAATTTTTGTACTAAGCTTAATTAATAGTGGAGTTATATGCATTTATTAAATGATCATGACTTTTGGGACATCCGGTAGAACCTAATGCTCTCAAGTTCATTAGCACTTAAAGAAAATCAACATAATCAAAAACTAGGACTCAATCATTCAATTTCATGAAAAACTCTCGGAATTATTGAAATTTTATAAGGAGAATTTTTTTTTGAATGCATCATTCGTGAATGAATATTTATATTATTTAAATAAATGTATCCATACGACAATGAAAACATTTATAAAATGATAAAAACAAATTCTCTTCATCTTCTATTCTTCTTTTCTATTGAAGAATTAGAATTAGAATTATATTTAGCTCAACAATATAAAAAAAGTGCATGCCCTCAACTCGTTTGATTACATGATAAATTCGAAATGTCTTGATGATATTTTTTTTAGCTTATATATCAATCATTACATAATATCGTAAAAATCATCATCATATTGCAAATGCGTATTATTCCACCACTGATTACTATGTTTAGTGCAATACGTCTCTTTTTTTTTGTTTGCAAGAGGAGAGTTATGAGTTTTTGTTCTTAAAAACAAATTTGATAAATACTCTTAAATGCTTATCACTTCTGACTGTGACCTAAAAAATTTAGTATTTTTTTTTCTATGTTTACTTCTATTTATATCGTTACAATTGAATTTAAATCGTTAACATGTCTTATTTGCATTTTATTATCATTAATTCAACAGTTTTTGAAAAAATCGACAAACTAGTATATTCTCTGAAAACGTTTTGTTCTTGTCACAGAGAAAAATTTGATAAGTCGTGAAATAGACGTACTGGCTCTTTCATTTGATGTAGTATCGATATATTCCATTGGTAAGAATGTATGAAAATGAATCATAATCAACTAGTAGTAAGACATGTTAATAGTTTAAACTTAATCATAATTATATAAGTTGAAGTCTTTTCTTTCAGATAGTAAAAGAAAAGATGTATTAGATTAAGTTTGATCAATAATGGCATTATATGCATTTGAAATATGATTATAATTTTCGAAACATTCTATACAGTATTGGCTCGTAGCCGTATGAAGAGAAGAATTTGCCTATGGGCTTGTTGTTTATATTGCGAAACATGAATAAATATCTTTCTAAAGATAAGAATCGTATATACATTAGAAAAAGAAAAAATATTTCAAATATATCACGTCCACTAGTTTAGATAAAGATTTTTGGTTTTTTTTTCGTTAAAGAAAAAGAAGAAAACGCGAAAAGAAATTATCTGTAGTCATTAATCTTTTCAACGATTACATACAAAAGCAAATTGATGTATATCTACGTTTCAATAATATTCTACATATCATGTAAATTACATAGGCATACATGAGTGACAGTTGTCTTCTTCTGTAATCTCTTGATATATCTTATGTTTCTCGTAGCTTTCTATGACATGAGAAAAAGATTTTCTACTAAATAATGTGTCCATACTAATTGAATTTTTGAATAAAACTAATATTTTATTTGATAATAAAACAAACAAGTCTCATTCTCTATTGAACTAAATAGTGTATCTATCTAATCGAATAAAATAATAAAAGACAGTCAAATTTAATGTGATGAATGAGAAGAAAACAATGTCTTCATCTTGTATACCAATATTTATTGTTTCAATATTAATTCTTTTTTTTTTGCATTTTTGTTTCTCTAATATAAAGTTCTATTGATATTGAAACATGTTATAGTAATTGTTGTCGATTACCATGTTGTTATTGTTCGAATCAAACTATTCCGAGTGGATTAACACTACAAGATACTCCATAGTATATTGTGATAACAATTAATAGACTAGTGACGTAACTAAAACTCTTTCCATGATTGGACGCTGATCTAACCAATTTTTGACAACGTGTTTACATTCATAAAGATCATTTTCTCATAATAAAACACAATTGATGATGTTCTATTTTTCTTTCAGAAAAAGATTTAAAAAAAATTAAGTAATACATATATTTCATTCATTTTGAATCTCCGGTAATAGGAATAGAGCATCATCAGTATTGCAAACGAATATTGAATTAGCTAACGAGAAAGTTGTAAGAACTATTTTTAGACATGTTAGACTTGAAAGTTAAATTTCAAATATCCAACTATTTCTGACACACACATAGGGCATTTATTAAATACCTGAACTGGATAGTTGACTACTTGAAGCGATTGTTAAACACTTAAATTCAACTTTCCAGTTTGACACTATTAACAGAGTTCAGAGCGAATATTATACGGACACTCCTTCTAGGTTGGGCTTTTTGTTTTCAAATGGAATAAAACCTTTTTTGTGATCATGGACGCCCATAGTTACTTTATTTTTGACTTATACATAATGCTTTACAATTAAATAACAAGGTCATCATAAATGTCTGTGGTCCACAATTTTTACAAATATCAGAAAGGGTAAGGGTGTGCTTTGAAGATCTCTTGTTCATCTACGCTCATATCTTCTCCAATAACAATTGGTATAATAAATGAAAGTAGCAAAAGTACATCATGTTCATTATCAGATTCTTAATTATCTCGTATATTGATTCGGCAAAATAAAGAAGAAGCATTTGATTTATTTATATTTAAAGATACACGTTAATTACACAGATATAGATTTTGTTTTTGTGTTTGTCATTGGTAATCGGTCCTAGATGTTGATGCTCATTAAAGAAAAAAAAACAATGTGTGCCGGATTATTGTCGAGAAGCTGTTTAACACTGTAAATTTGTTTTTTTTTTCCTGGTAGTCGTGTATATCAGATTCAGAACTGGACATCTCAACTTAGAACGGTGATTAATTCAATTCAATTTATCAATCAACTTACAAGGAAAGGAACATCTCCAACTGTTCAATCTCTTTTGGATTGAATATATGCTCAAATGATAGACCACAATGAGTCATTAAACACTACACCAGTTTGGTCTTCCAGACTTCCTGAGGAGAGATATACAATTGTTAGTGTTTCTACGTTTGGTGTCCTACCGTACTAATATATTCGATGTTTTGACTAAACATACTCCAATACTGCTCAAATTTATATCAGTACTATGGTACTCAGTACTGATTGAGATCTCAAAGTTTGAAGATATGAATTTGTTTGACGTACTGATTG